AATATAAAGATATTACTATAACCTTTAATAAATATAAAGATATTACTATAACTTTTAATAAATATAAAGATATTACTATAACTTTTAATAAATATAAAGATATTACTATAACTTTTAATAAATATATAATAAATGTGAACGGTTTAAGTATATAATTTTGATATGTGAACGGTTTAAGTATATAATTTTGAAATGTGAATGGTTTAAGTATATAATTTTGAAATGTGAACGGACATTTCAAAAGTATATATTTAAAGATGAATGTTAAACGTTTATGTGTGTTTTATATTGAGGTGAATGTTAAACATTTATGTGTGTTTTATATTGAGGTGAATGTTAAACATTTATGTGTGTTTTATATTGAGGTGAATGTTAAACGTTTGTGTGTTTTACATTGAGGTGAGTGTTAAACGTTTATGTGTGTTTTATATTGAGATGAATGTTAAACATTTAAATGTGTTATATTGAGGTGAATGTTAAACATTTATGTGTGTTTTACATTGAGGTGAATGTTAAACGTTTATGTGTGTTTTATATTGAGATGAATGTTAAACATTTATGTGTGTTTTATATTGAGGTGAATGTTGAACATTTATATGTGTTTTATATTGAGGTGAACTAAATTAATGTTAGAGCTTTCTGGATAATAAATGAAATAGAGACTGGACAAAATATAACAAACAATATGAACAGTCTTTATTAAAACAGTATGTACCAAGGACTTAACTCGACTGCAGGATCCAAAACTTTGTAGAATTACGTTCTGCAAATTGTGAACCGAAAACTTTAAATGTCATCATTTGTTTGTTTCTTAAGAGAGACAATATATTATTTTTAAACAATGTACACAGAACTAATAATATTTATTAAAAATGTTTCTTAAATTTGAAATTCTATTGGCTTTAACGGGAAAAAAAACATAAAGAAATATATTTCTTTTTGCTTAAATATCTTACATTTTTCCAGTTGTTTGACATCATCAAACCAGGTATTGTCAGTTGGAATAAAGTTCACAAAATGTTCAGTAAACTGAAGTTTTTCATGGAGAAAGTTGAAAACTGTAATTATGCCGTGAAGCTAGGTAAGGAACTCAAGTTTTCGCTGGTGGGAATTGATGGAAATGACATTTCTGAGGGAAATCCTACTTTGACACTTGGTAAGTGTTTGTTTTGTTCATTGTTTCTTGTAGTCTTCAGAATATTGTACTGAAATTTAAATCTCATTTTATTATTTGGTTGCCTTTTTTTTTCGTTTATGTGTGTTTTATATTGATTTGAACATTCATCTCAATGTAAAACACACATAAACGTTTAACATTCACCTCAATATAAAACACATATAAATGTTTAACATTCATCTCAATGTAAAACACACATAAATGTTTAACATTCACCTCAATATAAAACACATATAAATGTTTAACATTCATCTCAATATAAAACACACATAAACGTTTAACATTCACCTCAATATAAAACACATATAAATGTTTAACATTCATCTCAATGTAAAACACACATAAATGTTTAACATTCACCTCAATATAAAACACATATAAATGTTTAACATTCATCTCAATGTAAAACACACATAAATGTTTAACATTCACCTCA